ATCATACATCGTTATGCTTTAGCAGTGAGCACTCTTCCACCTCCTTTACTTGACGTGTTAACTAAAGTAGTAAAGATAGTAAATGTCATCCTCGGTAGTGCGACCCACACAAGAATCTTCAAAGAGTTGTGCAATGAATTTGGAGGTAAATTCGCGGAGCGTCACTCCGTTACGTGGATGACACCTTTGTTTGCATAAAACGGGATAAGAAAGACGAGTTTCTAAACCGTTTGAACACTCTTGCGGAGACCAGACATTTCACTATGGAATTGGAATCTGGCAGTGGAACATTGCCATTCCTTGACTGCTTAGTTCACAGGAATGGGGGTAGTCCAAAAACAAAGATATATCGTAAGCCGACGGAGACAGATGGTGTATTCTACTATAGTTCAGGTCGCACAAAGCATGTGTATTCTGGAATCGTCTCAAGACTGTTTCACAGAGCCCAGACTCTGTGCACAGAGAAAGAAGATAGGAAGGCCGCGCGGAAAGAAGCAATGAACTAATTGCTTGGTAGTGGATACCCGAGGCGGATACCCATTGCAGCGGATTTTAAATCCTCAACCACGGTGTACTACCGAGTGGATTGGGACGGTAGATATTCCTTATAAAGATGGAACTTCAGAGGCCATCCAGAGGGTCTTAAATAAAGAAAACATAAGCTTAATGTTCCATAAAGGCCAAACGCTCCGCTCTACACTAGTGCACTTGAAAGACCCAATTCTCGCCGATAGGACAACCAATTGCGTCTAAAATATTGGTTGCAAGGACTGCTGCGCACATGTGTACATCGGCCAAACCGCGAGAGAGCTAAGCACAAGGATAGCGGAACACAAGAGACGCATAACACAGCCACCGATTTCATCGTCAGTCCTTCTCCACAAACACATGCAGCGAGTAGTCTCTTAATTGGCATACACGGCAGTATGTAACCATCATTTCGTTTGATATACACCTACGTTTTCCTGAGAGACTGAGCGACACTGTCAGCCTTTCATGTTACACCGTTACGGTCACTGTTAAACAAATTAGACAGCGTGCACCCCACTTGGTTCCTGCAATTGCTATCAAGACTGTGACGGGTGTAGTCTGTCAACGACAGCTTTTCCGGACTCATTTATGCAGAAGTAGCATCTCATATTTTCACCGTCTAATTGTTACGAATTCTTATTTTGCTAAGGTGGTTTATGTGAAGGTAACATTCAGTCTACAACAGTCTTGTCACTAACCCTTTTATCATTTGCTGGGATAACACTAAGCAACTGTCGATGCGCCACCAACATTTGAACACGGTAGCCAGTGCATTATGCACTACTGTCGAGATGTTGCAAACCACCAGCCAAAAACGTCGGCATCGACCCAATCTGAACTGACCGGTGGTAAAATCGCTGAGGGTAATTAACATATTTCAAGGACACATGCATCACGATGCGTCCTCACGTCGTATTCACACCCCCAGACATGCGTGGGTGAGTAAATACAGTAGACTTACATGCCATTGGTGGGTCGGCAAATTAGTGCGCTCCAATCTCACCCTGACCTGCGGGGCTGATCTAGGGAGACTGAGCAAAATCGAAAGTCTCTTATCAAACGTACGGTACTGTGACTTGTTCTTGCCTAACTGCGGTCTGGGGGCGTAGTTTGCCTGATTCCATCACTACGTTTTGCCCCGATAGTGTTGCAAGTGGTCTGACTGATTTCATCCGTGCTCACTCATTGAATAGAGGTTTAGTGATGGGAGACTTCAATCTTAAAAAAGCGGTGACAAACATCTCCCTGAGAACTATAAGCCTGTTAGTTTAACCAGCGTGTTGGTCAAGCTCATGGAAAAAGGTGTAAGGGATGCTCTTAAAAGCCATTCAATGGTGTTTGGGTTGCTCACCCCCACCCAACACGACTTTCGTAAGGGCTATTTTTACCTTATCAAACTTTTAGTTGCCTGTGAACATTGGGCCGATGCGGTTGATCAAGAAAAATCCATGGACTTATTGTTCATAGACTACTCCAAAGCTTTTGAGACTGTTACTTATTCTCGCCTTTTGTATAAGCTGCGGACTAATGGTATCTCGGAACCTATATTGAAGTGGATTTCGACATTTTAGCCAGTAGGAAAATGTAGGTACGTGTGGGATCTAGCCTGTCTTCCAAGTTGTGTGTTTACAGCGGTGTCCGGCACCGGTCGGTGCATAGCTCCCTGCTATTCACCTTGTTCGTTAATGGTCTATCCGACGAGTTGGGAATGCCATCTCTACTTTCCACGGACCACTTAAAGTTCTGGTCCAACGTAAATGAACCTAATAGTCCCCTGGCCCGAGAAAGACTTCTAGATAGACTATGAGGTTGGACCGTTTTGTGGCAGCTACCCAAAAATCTCGCTAAATGTTCAATTTGGTGAGTTGAAGCAACTGACACACCGATGCACTATCTACTTGGGGGTAATTAATTGTTGCGCGTGTCATTATCAGCTGAATAGGCGTCTTGCTGTCGTCTCGTTTTAAGTCCAGTGAACATTACACGGCAGCTGCTCGTAAAGGTTTTCACATATTGTGGATGATCTGCAGATTATGCGGGATCACGAAAATCAAAATGTTTGCAAAGTAAGTCGCAGCGTTTTTACGCCGCACTTGGAATAATATGTACAGGCTTGTCCCCCCTATTTGGTCCGAGGCAAGATGACAATTGGACGAGTTTTACAGTCGGAGACAAAAACGATGTTTTAATTAAAGTAGCTATCTTATCCTGAGAGATTACTCAACTTTGACATGTTTTCTATGTAAACAGGCGATCTGGGAGTGACCTGGTCCTCACCTATCGCACAATAACCGGTCAGGTCGGCCATGATTTATCAGGACTGTTCCATCCCACTCGGGTGCCAACTCTTCGTGGTCATCCATTCGGATTGGGTTGGAAATGATTTTCGGTTATCACACCGTATTATAGACACTTGGAATGCGCTATCCGCAGAAACAATGATAGTGTCAGCGGTGAAAACGTTCGAAAATCGACTTGATGACCTTGGGTTACAGTTTAAGACCTTCCCTTTTTCAGCTTAGCTCTGTTCTTATCTGTTGATGCTTACTCCTGTTTATGCTTTCATTTTTTTAAAAACTTGTTACATTCATTACTCCATGTTGTCTTGTTTTAGTGCTTCCCCTTTTAATTCACTTCATGTGGCCGGCACAGGGGGGATTGTTAGCGCAGGGCAGCGGGCATTGTTTGGTTGACCATAGAGTGTACCGTGTGTGTTGATTTGTCTGCTCCTTGCAGATCGCTCCACATATTTCACTGGGATCAACGACGTTTTACGAAGTGGAACAATCACAGGATCCTCTTACTATTCCGGTCCTAGTAGAACTTGAACTTGTAATGAGATTGTCTTGTTATCCGACGGGGAGGGTTCGAGCCTGCGTAGGAGCAGAGCGGCCATCGCCATGTCTTTTTCTCACGTGTGAGCGCTGGTGATTGCGCGGCAACGAAGCGCCGGTAATGCCTACCGGCGTACTACTGATGCCTTTCTTTTTTTCTGGCATTAAGTGCGCTTCTCACTGGACTGTCTCCTTTGATCCTTTGACCGCACACCCAAGTCGTGAATCACTTTGCACTGTGATATAAACGTGCCTTATAATAATAGACTACCTGGTGGAACTTCGCATTTGTACGACAGAATATTACACTTGTCCACGGAAAAGGACACCTGCCACAGTTTGCACAAGTGCCGATAGATCTTCCTGAATGTGGCACAATGCTGCGCGGGTATCTTCACGCTCTGGTGAGTGGACGATTTTAATGTCATCAGCAAACAGAAATACATGAAATACATCGTTGACGTAGAGGAGAAAAAGAAGTGGACCAAGTACACTTCCCTGAATTACTCCACTGGTGACTGCTTTCGGTTTAGAGACACGGTCCCCAATACGCACCACCTGATGTCTGTCAGCTAGGTATGACGACAACCAAGAAAACATTGGTTCTCCAATACCTACTTCCTTCAGCTTGAGGAGTAGTCTTCGATGCGGCACTCTGTCAAATGCTTTTTGCATGTCTAAGAACAGGACAATAACACTGTTGCCTTTGTCTATGGCAGCCGTTGTTTGGTTCAAGAAGTCTGTCTGGCATGTCACACAACATCTACCCTGCAAAAAACGTGTTGTGAATTGTTGATGATCTTTTTCTTATTCAAGAAAATAAGTAATTCATCTTTCACTATCCTTTCCATAATTCTAGATATTACAGGTGTGTGATTGATGGGGCGATAAATTTGAATTTCGTGAACGTTTCCATTCTTATGCCACGGGATAACAACGGAAGTCTTCCAGTGATTAGGATATACTGCACTGTTAAAAGAGAGCGTAAAAATGTTGAGCAATAGAAGAGTCAAGTCGCTCTCACCGCTTTTTAACAAACAAGGGGGAATTCCATCAGGTCCTGGGTAAGTTGAGGAAGACAAGCGGGAGACTTGACCGGAGATTTTTGCAATAGTGAATTCCACCGTGCATAAATTTTCAGCAATGTGTGGTGTGACAAGCGCTGGTGTGGCTAGCGGTTCATCAACCAATGATTCGGCGAAATAAGCGCTGAAATCCTCACAAATTTCGCCCGGAGCATCAAGGTATGTGCCATCCGGCATAAGGATAAAATTGATAGAATTACTGCGATGCAAACCTCTGGTACGAAACAGTTTGGAACAATGGAACAATGGTATATGACGGGTAAAAAAACATACACTTAACGAGTCCCGCAGGTTGGCAATAGAAATACTAACAAATTGGCAAACCACATAAATGGTTGAAGTAAGGAGTGTCAGTGAGATAAAAGGTAGAAGTATAACAGTTTTAGGGGGATAAAGAGGTACGACGCAAAACTGGCTAAGAAATTGTTATCGTTGGTGATGGTAGCAAATAAAAATGGAGTACTCACCGGTTCGCACAGATTTATGACCGTGAATTTGGGGTATAAATCCAAAGAGGCTGGTCAGCCTAAATATATACAAGCGTTTTCGTTCATAAAACAAAGCGCAAGGCGCTCAGTGCGACGTCCAATCGTTTTTTAAACGTATCTAATGTGGGGGCACAAACAACTGAGTTTGGAAGGGCGTTCCAGGGCCCGCAGACCCGGGGGGAGAAATAGGTTCTCCGACAGTATAGACGACTGTACTGTTGGCTCAGCTTTAAACTGTTACCGCGAAGGTTAGTATTCGGGCTGAGCTTCAAGAGGTGGCGGCATACGTGACTGGGATCGCTCAATATCTGGTACACTAGTATGAGGTCTCCACGAAGTCGCCGGTACCGTCCGCTGAACACTCCGAGTATCTCCAGTCGTTCCTGGTAAGGAGTGTGGCGCAAGCCCTTGACGATTTTCGTTGCTCGACGCTGTGGGGTCTCAAGCGCTGCAAGGTCACGTTTTAGCCAGGGTTGCCAGGCCTGGATTGCATATTCGACGTGAGGACGCACGTAGGCATTCAGCATCAAAGAGAAGATGGATGGATCCAAAATTCCGAATGCTCTTCGCAGGAGTCCAACGTGCTGGTTGCCCCTTTTAGAAGCGGAATCTGACTGTTTGGAACACCCGAGGTCTTCTTGTACCAGCACACCCAAGTCGCGTTCCTGAGTGGTGGTCTTCAGATCGTGTGCCCCAAGCTTGTAGACGTAGACTTGTCGATGGCGGATATGAACAACGCGACATTTGTTCACATTAAACGGCACGGCGTTTCTCACCGAACAATTCCAGGCCTCATTCAAGTCACGCTGTAGGACTTCATGGTCGTCCGATCGTTTTATCGCCCGCCAAACCTTGAGGTCGTCCGCGAAGAGTAAGAATTTCGACATAGTAACTCTTACTAGATCGTTAATGAAAAGCAGGAACAAACGAGGCCCAAGTACCGAACCCTGCGGTACGCCGCATCCCACTCAAATCGGATCGGAAAAGGATGATCGAACTCTAACTGCCATTCAGAGAGAAAGTTACCGATCCATCCTAACAACGGGTCGCCGACACCGTACTGTTGGAGTTTAATGAGCAGGATTCGATGATCCAGGCGATCGAAGGCTTTCGAAAAGTCCAAGAATGCAACATCGACTCCTGTACCCTCATCGACAGTCTCGGTCCAGTTGTCACGAGCTATCAGCAGATTCGCCGTACATGAACGATGTTGACGAAACCCATGCTGTTTTGGCGCAATTATGCCGTAGCTTTCCAAGTATCCCATTAACGCATCTGCTACCACCGCTTCCATGACTTTGGCGATCACAGGCAGAAGCGTTACGGGGCGGTAATTGGCAGGATCCGATCGACTTCCTGCTTTGTATATGGGCGTTATTACACCTTGTTTCCACCTCGAAGGTACGATGTTCTCATCGAAACCGCGCTGAAATAATGCAGCTAGTGGTTCGGCCAAGTGGATGGCAGCTACCTGTAATGTTTTCGGGTGAATGTTATCGGCCCCGGGAGAGCTGTGTGGACGCAAGGATAGCAGCTTTTGCAGCACCATTTCTGCAGTGAACGTGACGTTGGATAAAACGGGCGGTGGGGTAACTAGTGGCGGAATATACGTCGAGGCTTGTACACCTTGGAAGATTGGGAAGTACTGGGCCCGTAGTGCGTTGGCCGCCTCCTTCGCAGTATGTGTATACCCATTGGTCGTATTAAGTGGTGGGATTCCCCGTTGCACCTTGCGAAGTCCATTCACATGTTTGTAAAGAAGCTTTTTGTTCGAACAGAATCGTTTGGCTAGCTCCTGCTGATGCGTTCTCTTGTCTTCGCGAACCAAAAGCACACAGTAGTTGCGATGCGAAACGTATTCCGTCCAGTTTTCTGCGCTGGGGTTGCTTTTATACATGCGCCATGCCCGATCCCTTAGAGTCATGGACAGTTCCGTTGTTTTATTCGGACCATTCAAAGCTTTGTATTCTTCTAATATGAGATTGCGAACATTTAGATGCCTGAGTTCCTCGACGATCTTTGCCTGCTGCAGTATTAGCGAAAAGTCTGCTGTTAATCTGAATTTCCGCCGGATCTTATGAAGCTTGCGTGTGATACCTAACACTTTGTGATCGGGTTTTTGTTTTCTTGGGCAGGCGCACTTTAGAGGCACTAATGAATCAATGCAAAGACCGATGATCTCATAGAACACGTCTGCTGCTTTTTGAGGGCATGGAGAGAGGAAGAAATCATCCCAGTTCATCGAACGAACCATATCCTTAAACGTGTTCCAGTTGACGGAGTTGAATAAACGATAGTGCAGTAGATGTGGTTCATTGGCCATGCGTAATCTTAAATAGCATTTGACCACCCGATGGTCGCTCCCAGGGAATTCATTAAGGACCGTTACATTAATAGCAGGTATGCCCAGCGAGAATATGAGATCAAAGATGCTGTTTCCTCTGGTAGGTTTAGAGACATGTTGTTGCCAACCATTCATATGTATACAAGAGATAGGATTATGAAATTTCAGAGGAGCAGTTCCTGCAGACCATGCAATCGATGGCAGATTGCAATCACCACCGATAATCTTGTGTTTAAACGGAAGGCTTGCAGCACATTCAAATGCAAACCTCAAAGCTACTAAGTCCTCTTGGCTACAGTTTGGCATGCTGTATATACAACCAACAAGCAGTTGCTGGTGTCTGATCGTTAACGTAAGCCAAAGTGACTCTTGCACATTATTCAGCACTGGATTCTCGAATGTCGTTGCTGCCAGCGATTGTTTCGCGTAAAGTACGCATCCTACTCCTCGACGACACTGCTGATTTCTCATAAACATATCATATCCGAAAAGGGTTAGCTGAGTGTTAGACATGTCGTCATGGCAACACGACTCAGTTATAAATATTATGTCAGGATCGGTCACAGAAACAAATGAGCGTAGTATGTGGATATTGGAATGAAGCGAACGAATATTAATCAAAAATATTAACATAGATGCGAGATGTGAAGAACGTTGTTTATGCTGCTTTATGAACATTGGGTCCGATAGCTTTGTGTCTGTGCCCATGCCAAAAATTGGTGAAACAAGGCGTGGACTGACACCTTCGTTGAAAAGGGATTGGGAGGTAGCCACAGGGGAGGGGGTTGTGACTGAGTATGGCCCTGAAGAAAATGGGGTACGGGGGCGGGTCCATGGTTGGCATAGCAGCTCATGAAGGCAGGAGGATTACAGAGCGGGCTTCCATGGAACTCGCTAGTGGACGCTAAATTTCGAGGCTGTGTCGCCTGCGTCGTGGCACTAATAGGTTGTTGATTGTATAGATTGGTGAAATGAGTAAATACGCAATCGTCATTTTCATCGTGGAATGTAATCTGCTTAGGTGCGCTGGAGTCGTAAGGTTTCACCATAAGCGGTGGAGGCACACTAGTGTCAATCCATGCAGCTCGAACAGAATACATCGTGTTTTTTAAGCATGAGTCCGGATTTTGGTGATAAACAGATATATCGCGTTCAATCTGCAAATATGTTGGGACACCTTGTGTGCCTTCATGGCCTTGATCAATAGATGGATGTCTATTCAGGCAAGGAGATGCTATGGATTTATCCGGTGACATTCTCAATAAATCCAAGTCAACCGTCATCATACAATCGATCCATTTTCCTGAGTCCTTAGATGCCTTAGATGATCCTGTATACTGGCCACAGTAGACTTTTGGCGGGATAACACAGGCTGAAGTGTGTGGCTGTGATTGCATATGTGGTTCAACGGGTAATGCAGTTGGTTTTGTCTGAACCGCATTGTTTCCTCTTTTCTGGCATGAAACAACATTGAAGAAGCTTTAGGATTACTGGAACTGGCTTTTTGAGAGGCAGCACCGTGCACAACCGCAGCGCTGGGGTTTACAGGCATTTTGTGTTTGGTCGGCTTATCACGCTTAACCGTGAAATTTCGTTCTGGTGGATGTGTGCCGGTGATCAATTTTGTGGCTGGCATAGCCGAAGTGCCGAAACTAGACGTACTCCTAGACACAGCAGATAACGGGCTAGACTGATCCGTGTGATCAAGCGATCGAATTGTAGTACCAGAGTTGATTTCGTTATTCGCCACGTTATCCGTAACTGCAGCAGGCGTAGAACAAATGCCAAACTTGTCGCTGCCACCAACAGAAACGTTTCAGAATGGGGTTTAGCAGTCGTGTTTGCTTGTAGCTGTCGTCTTCTAAGCTCTCGCTGTAAGGGGGTTTTGTCCTCTATTATTTTCAGACGTTTGAAAGTCGTATTATGCTGAATCAAATTGCAATTTCGAATGAATTGTCTAGCAATTAGTTCATTTTCAAACTGGAAAAGTAAGGGACAGTCATAGCGTATAAACTTTTTACATAGCCTAGTGCAGCTGGACCAACAAGTTTGCATGCCGCACGCAGACAGTAGAACTCTCTGAACAGTTTTCATAGGTAGCTTGTCAGGTACATTAAAAGCCACAGCATTGCGTGAGCAATGTACTCGATTCTGTACTTCGGTCGAAATTGAGTCAATCAGCGAGCTACATTGCGTGATAGGCATTTTACCCATATCTGAGGGCGATTCAAATAAGGCAAACAGACTATGCATGGGCTGCAGCATAGATGTGAGCGTGTCAACTTCTAATGATAGCGCAGCATACGCAGTTTCAGCTACAGAGGGACATTTTTCAGGTGTCTTTTTCAGGTCAGCAAGAAATGCACAACCGTCTGTCACAGCGCCTACACTCTTTCGGGTGCTTTTTCTGCTACTACCGCCGGATGTTTTGCGTGGTACCTTGGTTTGTTCGCTGAGCTTCTGAACTAAGATGGGGACAACCTTGTTTACCACACAACTTTTTCTCATCGCGCGTGTCCTTACTGCAGACATGAGAGAAAACCAAACGTAAGTTTCACGATAACAAAAATACAAATGGCTCTGAGCGTGGTTGCTAACTGTTAATAGTGAGAAAGTGAAGCCAGAAACTGGACGAATCAGTGAGGAACAGAGGGAACGCACCGCAGTTGACTAGCAAAATCCACGCCTTCGTGTAAGTTGTGCACGTCTGTCACCAATGCCCTTTGTCTCCCGACGGCTCAGCGTCAGGTCAGTTGCAAAGTTGATTTCGTGTCACTACTGGCCACGCACACGGTGCGCTCAGGTCACGTGTTATCGGATTACGTCGGCGAGATGCGTCAACCAGGCGAACGACTTGCGATTTATCAATCGATTCACGGCGCATGTGGGCTGGGAGGGGTGTGCGTGACACACGATTGTGAATTAGGGGGTTGCTGGAAACGGTATCATACAGACGGGATGCCGCAGCGGTCGGATTAGACCCTACTGGCCACACTGGCTGGCGGTGCAGGTCTAGAATGCGGCTTTCGTGTGTGGAGTTGCGGGAGGGGCCGCTAGCGAAGCTGTTTTCGGGCGGAGGGTACGGCCTTACCTCTGGTGAGCTGCGAGTGAGTATGCTAGCAGGGGGGGCGGCACGATGCGCGGTTGCGAGGGGCAGTTATATCTTTGCTCCGGCGGCTGGGGGGGGTGCGGGGACTGGGGATCGGGGAGTCAAACTTATCTGGTGGCAGGGGGGCGCAGGTCTCACTTCTTTGGGTGGGCTATCAGTGGGACACGCTGTGGCAGTGGGGGGCCCCCCCACTCCAAGGATTGCTAGGGAGTTGTAACCGGGGCGATGTTGGAAGTTCGTTTTTTTAATTTTTTTTTCTTTTCCTCTTTTTTCCTTCTCCTTCTTTTATTTACCCTAGTTCTTTTTTGCTCCCCTTTTTTTATTCCTTTCCTTTAGGTTGCTCGATATGCCACTTGGACTGCCCTGCACAGAAAGATGTGCCCGAGCTCATCCGCTAAACATTTAGCAGAGCGCTGTTCGCGCACATTGCGGCAGAGTGAGGGCTAAAACAAGCTCTCCCCCGCCCTTTATAACTACGAGGGGGTGTGAGACTAAGATGCCGCTGTTAACATTTCCTCTTAGTCTTCTGCCATTGACGAAGTCAGTGGAAGTAGACGACACTAGTACACGACACTCATGGTGTGGAGCTACATTCCGGCTGAGCTCGACGTGATTTGTATATACTGACTATCGTCCCCCTCTATGTGACCGCGTCCACTCACAGTCTGTGTG